TGTTGTCAACGGACGAAGATGGAAACGCAGCGTGCAAATAAATGATTCCCTCACCCCGTTCGGGAGTATTGGATAAATAGGCCACAGTATCTGCCGCCACTTTCATTCATGAGATAACCACTGTAAATTCATCAATATTTGTCCCCCGAGAATATGCCTGGTAAGTGAAGGATGATATCTATCACTTTAGTGAGGAAGTGAATGATTCGCTCCATTTGGAACATGCCTAACGTAGGTGATCGCTCGAAACCCCGACGACGAAGATGGAAGAGCACTGTGATCTAAAATTTATTCACCTACCACACTTATTCCATTTATTTTTCTTGTGGCTCTCAGTACATTAGGCAGAACGTCTATGAAACAATGTTTAAACTAAACATGCAATGATCCTACATTCCAATTGTCATTAGGGACGGAACTGAATAAGAAATTATGTGTGCAAAATAATACAATCATCGTTCAGATTGTTTTTGGTCTGTAAAAGGACACACTACTCGTTCTGTCTTGAAAACGAGCCAATGATGCATCACTCTCCGGTTCCGTCGGACCCCCCACTGCAGATAAGGCGGATAGTTCTTCAAACGACAGACGGAGACCAATCAGGTTAGTGCATTGTCGACCCACGGCAAGGGTATTCGGACTGAGCTAATCTCTCTGTGAACAAAGGAGCTTACAGCAATTTTCATTGCTGTAAAAAAGATACAATTTTGTACCTATTTTACTAAAAATATGAACACCCGGAAAGTGGTAACTTTTTCCTTAGGTTTGGTCCAACACTTCATCTGCACCCTAACCGTTCACAAATTTTCTCCGATTGGCATTTTAGGCTACTATGCTTGTTTTCAGTAGTCACGCTCTATTTCGAATTTAACTCGGTGGCTTGTGGCGTGGGATGGTTACCACTCATTTGGTGCAGCCAAGATAATTTAATAGGGATGGCATGCCCAAACCTTAAAGAAGGCCTGATTTGATGAAAGACTTTAGATAGTCGTTTCACTAGTCCCACAAAACACATTGAGAATAACAACGTGGCGAACAAGCTCGTTTACAGTTACTCGTAATCATGCCATTACATAACATTAAATATGACCTACAACAAGAACAAAACAGGGACTGAGAGATTCCAGTCCTAGTGATTCAGCTGTGGCTCCAATCATGCGTGCATGTGTGTTTGTGTAAAATTGATCACAGTGTCAAAAGTTCAAGTGATTGCACACGTGTTGGAGTGGGCCAGGGGATATAAAGTGCTTGCACCAATTTCTTCCTTATATGATAACAGATGGTATACTACGTCTCACTTCATTATCGTCAGGCTCAATAAACCGATTCACTCTCTTCGAAGACGCTATTGAACAAACATGAATCGCCACTTCTGATCAGCCCTGGGAGGGTTGTTTGGTACAGTGGTAACACACGTATTCCATGCGATCGGTTAGGAGTTTAAAGAACAGACGGACATGTGGACATCTATCAACAAAGGTCTTTCATGAGAGGTCTTCCGGAGTGCATAGCTTGTTGGATGAGCTTAGCTTTGTGCGTCTGAAGGATGGTTACTCCAAATAAACAATTTCTATTCTTCTTTGATTTGCAACCCAGCCGCAAGGACTACTACACTACGTTACAAATGCATGAAGTGGACTCTTCATATACTCATATAAAACCTATTTAGAACAAGCTGTCTGTAAGTGGATGATACAAGTTCATATTTTATAAACTAATATGAGGGTTCGAGTTGCTAATTATCGATCACATACCAAAGAGGTATAGGTTTTGGTTCCTAACTGGAAATTTTATAAGTATAGTCTGAGCTCAAGCTACTACAACCGTAATTAAAAATGAAACTCCGGTTTATTGTTTTATTCTATCTAGACCAATTTGGTGACGTATTAATATAAGGAGTATTATTTTACCACAGACCTCAAATATGTATTATATATTATCGGTTCCTGTCATTAATTACACGAATTTTCGGAGTTATAACTCCCTTGTGTACATGAATAATCCAAAGGGNGGCTACTAAAGTTTGTGCGGAACGTGATGCGATCGTTCTTGTAAACTGGTGGCGTGCAGTAAACTGCGTGCGTTTATTTCGGCCCCATTATGTGTGCGTGTATATCAGTCGCTTCTGTGATTGATTGGAATTCGGCACATCGCATGAAGAACGTCCTACTCATTCGACTACCAGGGAAACTTATTGGATTCGGGTTCAAACGCGATCCAGTATTCTTTACAAGGTTATTACTTTAGACTCGAGAGGTAGACGAAAAACGACTAGGAATTTCAATTTCTCGCCGTGGTCGATGAACCAGGTGGGATGTAAAATTCAATAATGCCAAAGAGCAGTGAGGGCCAGGCATGAACTTTCGAGGGTATGCAATCGTCCTGTCAGTAATACGGGGTGAGGCTGATTGAGTTCTTCAGAAGGGTATCAGAGAAGAGATATTTTGTCCGTCGATAGTCTTAATTTTTCTCCAAAATGATTGCACCTGTATATGACACAAAGCGGGCGCATAAAGCATGAGCATCAGTAAAAACAAAACCACAGTCACTGAAAATGACACCTTGAATGGGGAGGGAAATGTTTGCTAGCCCATTTCTAAGCCCAACAAACCGAAGAAACACAACTGGAAGTTACAAAGGGAATCCCCATTTTTAACCTGGATATTCATAGAGGGATCACTGCAGTTGACCCCAAGTAAATACTGGGCTGCGATTGGTCGACTGTGGGTTCAAACAATCATTTAGACACAAAACCCCTATGAATACAAACACCCCTTTACAGTGGAAAGCCATACAAATCAAGTAAGATTATGCAAACGTTGTCACACTGATGGGCTGAGAGACATTCGACCCGATGAACCGAAGAGAGTGCAAAAGAACATGTGACCATTGCACCAGTGGCATGATCCCTGTTCGATGCCAAATGACCCCAGGCTTATGAGATGTGTGACATTCGTTTGAGTATCTCACAACTCAATCAGCATAAAGTGCATTAGATTAAAAAATGACCAGTATGGTTCATTGAATTCTGGAAACTTTAATCTAATTACTAGACGGGTAGCAATTATAGGATTGTTTCAGCATTCCTCGATGACATGGAACACATGTTGTGCATGCTAGTCCGGGCAAGCACGTGTTTCTGATCCAATTTACTCGCCAGCTTTATCGATCAACAGAGATCGAAATTAATGTTGGGCAATAATTTCAATCAATCTGTTTGGAACACAAATGTTCACCCCTGAATTAGGATCTAAATTACAGTATGAGGTTCAAGCGATACAACTAATGAATGACTACGGTTCGATGGATTAAACTTTTTCACCTAACATAATCAGGGAAGTCCAGTCCAACTATATGCAAACACCAGGAGTCCTGAATCGACAGAAAGAAAAAGCATAATGAACAAACCTGAATGAGATGTTTTTTATTTTTGTTTAAAATTTACAATTTAAAGCACATACCGTCTCGACCGAGGGTGCACCAATTAACCAAAATAAGAGTACGCATTATGTTGGTATGCCACCCATTGTGTTCAGAAGTATTCAACTGGTATAGACGCCTGAAACTCTACGATCCATTTCACCGACCAATCAACAGATGATTCAACTGTAATACAGTTGAACCTAATCCATCAAGAGATGCGGTACCGGACAAATGCGTAAGCTCTCAACCCCAGCTCCAACATGCATTGTGACTCGTTGTCACGATTGTATGGTATTGGAAACGGGTTTATTTGTAAATATTTTTCTTTCTTCCGTTCAGACGCATTAGATTGAAGCCACGGAGTTCCATGTGACCCGCAAAAACACAACCAGAGCAAGCTGGATTAAACTGTGCGTAAATTCGACAAGCACATGTTCGCGTCTCGCTACCGGTCACGGTGTCGAGCAGATTATCAACGGTACCGAGTACGCATCGCCCAATTCAGGACTGCATTTTATTAAAGCCCATACGTAAACACGAATCAAAAAGAATGTTAATGTGAACGAGGAGCATTTCATACTTCGCCTTCTACAGTTACCAACACCGTTCACGAAAACGAAATGGGAGGAGAACGATCTCAGTAGATATGAGTTGGCCCTACAGCTCTGAAAACGTCGAATAACCGCTGTTGAATCTGTTTGCCGCCCTCCACACGTTCCACCCCAACAGTCTGTCTAGTCACCTCTCCCTCCAGTGTCATTGTCTGACCCGTACGTATTATCGATCATCGGACATGCACTTTTCGTCCATTCCATCTCTTCATTCGCCTACCACACTTGATTCCCCCTCTCATTCTCGTGACCGTTGTCCCTGACCTTGATATGGTCTGACTCACCCTACCCTATTACTATCGTATGGAGTTGCCTAATCTTATCCGGATTGGTCCTCAGTCTCACCCGTGTGTCGCCCTGTCCCATGTGCGCTTTGACGTTATTTCACTTATCGCCTGTTCGTTTGACGGAGTGGTGAACTCCCTCGTTTGCATCTTGGTTATCGATTGGCATTGTTAATTTCGCCGATTCAGGCATACCCCCTGGGAACGCCACGATTTGAGGTGTGTTGTTTATGTAATTGTGACGCTTAATATTTACAGTACCGCATACTTATTCGCTATTGTTGGAGTCGAATAAACCTCTAGAAAACTTGGACTTGGCTTCTGAGGTTGCGCGTCACTCAACGTTGGCCTGGATAGTCATTTGGATTTAACAGTACTCAAATCCATTTTCCCTTGGGCTCGTTTGGATTTATTGCCTGGAACAAAGAAGAATACAATGCCAGTAACCCGGAGTAATTCACGGACGCTGGAACATTCTGGTCCTGACAAAACTCTTTTGGACGAAAACGCGATTAGTCACTCACACATGCTGGACGAACATTTGGGTAAGCAGATTTCTTCCCGTACCCCTTTGTTTGGCACGGCTAAAGGTAGTAAGGGTGCAGGCAGCGCTATTTCCCGTAGCAGTTCACCTAGATGTAGTAGAAGAAAGCAGATAGCATCGGAACAACTTGCGATAGAAATGAAGAAATTGGAGATTAGGCAAAAACAGTTAGATTTGGAGATTGCGACCTTGCACGATGAAGAGCATTCTCTCGGAGGAGATGACGACTATGGAGATGAAGTCATGGAACGATTAGAACATGTTAAAGATTACGTCAACCTTTTGCCGGCGGACCGGCCATTACCCAACACTACTATGTCGTCTAACAAAACCACACACACTGCAAGACGACTTCCCGAGTTGAGTCTGGTGAGTTTCGACGGCACTCCAAGGAAGCTTTGGAGATTTTTGAACAGTTTTAAACAAGATGTTGCTGCACATCTGGGAACCGACAGAGAAAGGTTAGCGTACCTTATCCATTGTTGCACTGGAGAAGCGCGAGAAGCTATAGAAGAGTGTGTGTTGTTACCCGAAGACATCGGTTACATAAGGGCGTTGTCAATACTAGAATCCCAGTTTGGTTGTCCAGACGAGGTCGCAGAGAACCTGCTGGACGGGTTACTCCACGGAAATAAGTTGAGGACTAGCGATATCCATGGCCTCCGGAAACTGATTCGCCAGGTTGTCAATAGTGAGATAATCCTTCAACAGATGGGTTACGCATCTATTCTTAACTGCCCCACAACCATCAAGGGAGTTATACGGCGTATCCCCGAGTACATGCAGCTGAAGTGGGCAGATGAAATGACTAGTAGTCGACTACAAGGTACAAAACTCCTATTCCGCGATCTTATCGCATTTTTGGAAAATTGTCTCTCCACAGCCACGTACTGTTACGGACAAGGCGCCGGCCGATTTCAGGAAGACGGGAAGAAACGAGGAGAATCTAACACGTAGCCACGGCCACAGAACACGGATAAATACCATGCATACTCAACGAGATGAAACATGTCCTGCTTGCCACCGCGATCATCCCCTATCGCTATGCGATGAATTTAAATCTTACAACTACGAGCAGAGAATGAAGACAATTAGAGAAACCAACGGCTGTTTTTTGTGTCTTAGACCGGGTCATCGAGCCAACGTTTGTCGAGTGAGAGGTCGATGCAGCGGACGTCATCACGCTTTATTACACATTCCCAGATCTCCGCATCCAGCAAATGGTGCTAGGATAAATTCAGTTTCCACAGAGACACCATGTACCTATTTGGGGTTCGTACCTGTCGTAGTAATCGGCCCACGCGGCTCCCAGGTAACATACGCCTTTTTGGATAACGGCTCCGATACAACTTTGCTTTCCGACACGGTCGCTAAGAATCTCGGAATATCTGGGCCATCAACGCAATTGAGAGTTACATCAATCAA